TAACGTAGGTATGACAAGTTAAAGAAATTTAACTTAGAAGAAACGTTTCTCATGTTTGTAAATCTACCCCAGGGGCATTTTTTGTCTTAATTCTGCCAAAGACAGATGTGCCTAGCGGCATGGATCATAATAATAACAATACGAATATCAGGAACGTCCCAGCAGGTTTTAATTTGAGCTATTTTCGAATTTCTGTTTCGCAAAGAAAATGCGACCCGTGAAGATCCGAGGTAAAATAGGTTCTTCAGCAACCCATTCTTGCTGTAAAAGGCGACTATGCTTGTCGTGTAAGGCGACTAACGGGATCGGGTGGTCAGGCTCGCTGGCTTTTGTGATGCATGTCATTGATCCCAATTGCGTGGATCGATGCTCATGATGTCAATCACTGGATTATCTGGTCCAGACTCGATTATTTACAGACCGCCGTCATATAGCTGGACTATTGCTGAGTACGGCGTCACACAACAAACAAACAAACAAAGAACATGCTGATGAATGGCTACATTCATTACACCGGCTACCTCGAACATCTACAGAGGTGATAATTTGACAACAGAATTTGCCTACCCTTCGCCAACAAGGACGACCTTGCTCTGTATCCAAAGTTATGCTTGCTGTAAAAGGCGACTAACGGGGATCGGGTGGTCAGGCTTGCTGACTTGGTTGATGCATGTCATCGTATCCCTTTTGCGTGGATCGATGCTCATGATGTCAATCACTGGGCTGTCAATAATTTACCACCATCGTTATATAGCTGGAATATTGCTTAGTGTGGCGTTAAACAAAACCCACATCGGTGGTTCATCGCGTTCGATGTCCTGGTTTGCGTAGTGGAGGGATTTTACCTCCGCTTCCAAATATAACATTATTTTATGTCCAGTGACAGGGTATTTCAGCGTGAACTGCCAGAGGTTATGTGCCACGCATGGTAACCCTCCACTTCTCTGTTACATTTCCCGAGCTACACTTCCCATGTAGTGCATATCTTCTTGTAAACATGTGTTGTTGCTTGACCTGCATAACGTTCACTTTCAAATGAAATCACATGAGCAAAACAGGCACACATGATTAACATGACGCAAAAATATCTATGATAAATATATAAACGTCTTTGTATACATAAAACCGGTCGAGTCAACATTAAAACACTCAGTACCAGTGTCACCAATAGTTCTTCTGTGGGGCCGTTTATATATACCTCCGCTTCCAAATATAACGTCATTTTATCTCGTATATACCCAATCTCCGGAGATAAAATGACGTTATATTTGGAAGCGGAGGTAAAATCCTTCTACTACGCAAACCAGAACATTGGCGATGAAGCAACCTGTCCGGATATATGCATACAAGGACGTTTATATATTATATATATTTCTGCGTCATGTTATAATGTGTGCCTCTTTTGCTTCTGTCCCTCCGATGAAATATGTCCAAACTACTGTATATATATATATATACTATATATATGAACTTTTGTCCCTGTTAGATGGAGGTCCAAATATATACTGAACCGCAAAAGAAACGTCACCATGGATAGATATAATTATGAGAAACCTTATTTGTCCAAACACTGTAAACATACTTTGAGACATTAAAAAGATGAAATTTGGCAAAAATAATCATCAAGGTGGACATTAACGCGTCAAATGTTCTTAGAGTGAAACACAACACTAGTCTCTGAGAAAATGGAATCACAAGTCAGTATCTCGTGTGTCCGCCATGTGCATTGATGACTGCCGTGCAACGTCGAAACATGGAATGGACGAGGCGGTTGATGAAGGCCATAGGCACTTGAGCCCACACTCTGAGGAACGCCTCACGCATTTCAGCTGCAGTTGTCGGCCTTGGTCGGACGTCATTCAGCCGTCTTTGAATCACGTCCCACAGGTGTTAATGGGATTCAAATCAGGACTGAGGGAAGGCCACTGCATGGTTCTGATGTCATTCTGCTGGAGGAAGTCTCTTGTTGCTCTTGCAGTGTGGGCACGGTCGTTATCATGCTGAAACTCGTGGTTGCGGCGACGTGCCAAATGAGGTAAGCCGTGTGGTCCCAAGACCTGATCAATATACCGAGCTGCTGTGACACCAGTGCCTCTCCCTGGACCACCGATGTTCTGGAAGACCACAGGGCCGACCCTCTGTGCAAGACCAATTCCACCATAACCATGATGCTCGGACCACCCCACGAGTCTCTCTCAACAACACAAGCATCCGAATAACGTTCCCCACGGCGTCGTCAGACTCCCTCTTCCATCTGCTGTTGAGATACAGTTACGGCTCTCGTCTGAGAAGAGGATTCTTCTCCACTGCTGATGGCGCCAATGCTGGTGCTGTGTTACCCACTGAAGACGGTCCCGGCGATGACGTGGTGTCAGAATGGGTCCTCGAATACTTAATTCCAGTTTGTAATAGCGAACGAACATGTGTGACCCAGTTGTGGATGTCGTTTTCATCCTGTGATTTCAACATTTCATACATGCTTTTGGGTATCGATAACTTTTCATATGCAACAGCCTGCACCAATACTTTATACAACGACTAAGATAATCAACACAGGTTCAATATACTTCGCCTAGTTCAGCATAGGTTGATACGTTATTTATTAACACATAAACATATAAGCCTATCTTGGAAGCTTGACCACTGTTGCTCTCTGTTTTTTTGCCATTACAACTGTTTTCGTATTTTATACTGCCATTGTAATTTTGTACTACCATCTATTGTTTGCTGCCAATATGCTTACTTTGAAGTTATTTGTATTGATAAGTGAACCTAGTTTATTTATAACACAGTTGTTGTCTGCATACCATATGTTGTGTGTGTGTTGGTTTCACGTGGAATTCCTTTGCGTGCAGATTTATTGATTTATTGATATTAACTTCGTGTTTCAGTTTGGAAATCGACACATAACAATACATTTATTGTTTCTGTGTGAACAATTCTGGACAGGGTTAAACTGAATCCTAAAGAATTTCACTAAAGGGTCAGAGAGGAAGGAATAAACTGTGTTTGGCATTATGATACCAGGTCGCGTAGTTGCATGAGTTATGTATTAGATGTGAAATCATGCCCTGCAGAATAATATGGGAGTTGGTAGGATAAAACGTATATTGTACTCGGTCGCTCATATCACATGACCTATTTCATATTTTCTCTACTATGTTTTTTAATGTTTTTCTCGAGATATTCAACAATGCGTTCTAGAGTGCATTATTTTATAACGCTAAAAGTTTGTTTGATGCCCAAGTGTGTACATCCGAACATGTAATCTGGTGCATCTATACTTACACCGTCGAAGCATAGCTGGAATATTTCCTAACGTGGTCTATATCCAAATCATCGATGTAAATAACTGTGTAATGGTTAATGTTAAATGTGTGTCTAGATATTAATGTAAGTTTATGGTGATTAATGAACCATATTTTATTGTTCTGACGTTTGGTATTTACCTATAGTGTATACGGGAAACTACACATACATATACAACGTGCGACACATATCTAACAAACAATTCTAATTACATAGAGGTTATCACGCGAGTGTGTTTGGGGATGGTAAATATCCTGCATTAGGAATAAACATTGTATTTAGCGAGCCTTGGCGAGCTAAATACATAGTGTTTATTCCTAATACAGGATATTTCCCATCCCCAAACACACAAGCGTGATAACCTCTTTATCATATGATGTCATTCGTTAATTCTGTGCTTTAAAATCGCTTTCCCTCTCTCACAAACATTACCGAAACATTGCGACTTTTCCTGGAATGCGTGCATTAATATTTATTACGTCACAGGGTAGGTGATGTGTCAGTCGGACAGTGACAGTAGCCAATATAGTTCCAACTGAAATCTGTTTCTTATACAGTGGCGAAGCAACATATACGCAAAACAACAGTTGTTTTTAATTGCCTTTCGCGGCATTCCATCGGTCTGTCCGCTATAGTAACTGCCCTTTGTCAAAGGGAAGCTACTCTTACCCTAGTCTATGAGACGTCACGGCCAGACGTTGTTGACAGTCGGTCTGTCCTGTTATAACGTTAAGAAGTGTAGTCAGATGTACACACAGCGTCAAATCGAAACAAGGTAACAATTCAGACTTATTTCGGCCAAATCCAACTATTTTAATTTGTGGAGAAGGTTTCAAGCCGCAGAGGTCTACAAGCACAGATATGGCTACTGATCCCGCTTGGCTAGGCCTCGTGCCCTCGCAAAATTGTTTCGAAATTTATATCTCCAAATTTGCCAAAACTTATAAATTGCCTAAGCTACGTCACAGTTAGACACTGATTTTCAGTATATTAGACTGTTCTTTTGATAATGATAGCAATTATCCCTGTAGTTTATCCAGATTCCCGATGGTTAATTCTGACTCGATCGCCGAATGACGAGGGCGACGCCATGTTTGTTTATAAACAGTGAAAGTAGTCCTACTTGACCTTTGATATTTGCATCTCTATCCGCATATGACCCCAACGGATATCGTTTTTATCCGTTGGCTTTATCCTGCCGAGAAACCTACCCATTATATGATAAATATAGTTATCATACTCGGTAGTCACAAATCATGTTGAAAGCCATTGAAATGGTTTTGTGCTTCAACTGTCATAAGGGGGCACGGGTGGCCCAGTCGTCTAAGGCGCTGCTATTCGCTGTGCAGAGTTGCGTCCCTTAGACTGACCAGAAACCTAGTATGATTGTAGGTTCGAATCCCGGTTCGCAACAATTATGTTTCTAGGTTTGTCAGCACCATACCCGTGCTCGTGGGTTTCACCGAAGTGGTAAACGTCTGAGACCTGCATCACTTCGAGCTTTCCTCCACATTAAGCTGACATAAAGTTCCACGAAAATTTTGCGAAATAAAGTTACTGTAAAAAGACTTTTCCGTTGTAGTATACTTATGGCAACACTGCAAATGCGTACATCAACAAAGTAAATACGTATCGTAAAAGGCAAATAAATGTACCAACACAGTAAATACCTATCGAAACACAGCAAATACCTATCGGAACACAGCAGATACATATCGGAACACACCAAATACATATCGGAACACAGCAAATACATATCGCAACACGGCAAATCCATATCGGAACACAGCAAATCCATATCGAAACACAGCAAATACATATCGCAACACGGCAAACACATATCGCAACACGGCAAATACATATAGGAATGCGGCAAATACATATCGGACGGCAAATGCGTATCGCAACACGGCAAACACATATCGGAACCCAGCAAATACATATCGCAACACGGCAAACACATATCGCAACACAGCAAATACATATCGGAACACAGCAAATACATATCGGAACACAGCAAATACATATCGCAACACGGCAAACACATATCGGAACACGGCAAACACATATCGCAACACAGCAAATACATATCGGAACACAGCAAATACATATCGGAACACAGCAAATACATATCGCAACACGGCAAACACATATCGGAACACGGCAAATACATATCGCAACACGGCAAACACATATCGCAACACGGCAAACACATATCGGAACACGGCAAATACATATCGCTACACGGCAAACACATATCGCTACACAGCAAATACATATCGGAACACAGCAAATACATATCGGAACACAGCAAATACATATCGCAACACGGCAAACACATATCGGAACACGGCAAATACATATCGCAACACGGCAAACACATATCGCAACACGGCAAACACATATCGGAACACGGCAAATACATATCGCTACACGGCAAACACATATCGCTACACGGCAAACACATATCGGAACACAGCAAATACATATCGCTACACGGCAAACACATATCGCAACACGGCAAACACATATCGGAACACAGCAAATACATATCGCAACACGGCAAACACATATCTCTACACGGCAAACACATATCGCAACACAGCAAATACATATCGGAACACAGCAAATACATATCGGAACACAGCAAATACATATCGCAACACGGCAAACACATATCGGAACACAGCAAATACATATCGGAACACAGCAAATACTGATCGCAACACGGCAAACACATATCGGAACACAGCAAATACATATCGCAACACGGCAAACACATATCTCTACACGGCAAACACATATCGGAACACAGCAAATACATATCGCAACACAGACAATACATATCGGAACACAGCAAATACATATCGCAACACAGCAAATACATATCGGAATGCGGCAAATGCGTATTGCAAGACGACAAACACATATCGCAACACAGCAAATACATATCGCTACACGGCAAACACATATCGCAACACGGCAAACACATATCTCTTCACGGCAAACACATATCGGAACACGGCAAATACATATCGCAACACAGACAATACATATCGGAACACAGCAAATACATATCGCAACACAGCAAATACATATCGCAACACGGCAAACAGATATCGCAACACGGCAAATGCGTATCACTGTCAGATTAAGGTGAATTTTAGCGGGGAAATGCTAATACAGTGCAAAGCCTGAGGATTGTTCACAATTTAAACACCTTCAGTACACACACATGCATATTCTGTGTCTGCAGTATAGGCCACCGATATTTGGGCCATGCCACGCTATTCATGTATATTGTATATTATATCAGGTAGCAATAGACAGCCGTGGTTGTGCCATTCAAGCTCCACTCACATTTGCTAACGGGATAGAAGGGTGATACAGTCCAATCACGTACACCGGGAGCATGCAAGATCAGTGGGAATTATATTGCGTGCAGGTAGTTATAACGTCGCCCTCCTTCCACACTACGCCTTCTACGCTACACTGGGTCCCTGAAGTCATTTGGGAATCCAAGAAGACCGGACAGTGAAAACAGTTAGTTTTCCTTTATCTAGTTCATTTTATCTGAAGCACAAATCTGTGCCGTGTGCTTTATAAATGGGTGGTGTGAGTGCGTTCTCAACCACAACGAGCTCGTACTGTTTAATGTGTTCAGTAGTCGACAACTACCGAATAGGTCGGTAATATCGTTAAGATGATATACAGACAGAATCACTGACTGGCTGCACAGTGGCTTAGTACTGGGATTCCGCTTTATTCGAACTATAGGCATTGTGTTGGTTTGAACTTTCAAGGAAGAAATGATGTATTCCTTTTGTACAACGATACGCTTGACTCAAGTTGTTGACAGTTTGCGCTTGTGGTAAACGTCTGAGACATGCATCACTTCGTGCTTTCCTCCCACATCAAGCTTACATGCAGTGATATAACTAGAATACTGTTGAAAGACGCGTTAAACCCAAATCAAGCAGTGACACTTTCATGGTGTTGTAAATACACCTCCTTAAAACGAGTTTAATTCTATAAAGTGACAAAAAATTCCTGCAACTTGCTGAACGAACACAAAGAGGGTGACGCCTTTCAACATTCCGCCTACTCTCTTACAAACATTCAACGCTTTTAACGTCATGTATTATGCTTTGTTAACGCCTTGTATAACTCTTCATCGTAATGAAATGTGAGCAGAACGTGACGCATACCGTCCCTTATATCCATCTAACTCTTTGTTGTGATGAAATGTGAACAGAACGTATGAATTGTTGTATGAGACAGACTATTTGTGTATGAGACAGGCTACTTCTGTATTAGACAGACTATTGTTGTATTAGACAGACTATTGTTGTATGAGACAGCTATTGCTGTATGAGACAGACTATTGTTGTATTAGACAGACTAGTGTTGTATGAGACAGACTAGTGTTGTATGAGACAGCTATTGCTGTATGAGACAGACTATTGTTTTTATGAGACAGACTATTGCTGCATGAGACAAACTATTGTTGTCTGTGACAGACTATTGTTGTATGTGACATACTATTGTTGTATAAGACAGACTATTGTTGTATGTGACAACAAATTGTTGTATAAGACAGACTATTGTTGTATGAGACAGACTATTGTTGTATGAGACAGACTATTGTTGTATGAGACAGACTATTGCTGTATGTGACAGACTATTGTTGTATGAGACAGACTAGTGTTGTATGAGACAGACTATTGCTGTATGTGACAAACTATTGTTGTATAAGACAGACCATTGTTGTATGAGACAGACTACTGTCGCATGAGACAGACTATTGCTGTATGAGACAGACTATTGTTTAATGAGACAGACTCTTGTTGTATGAGACAGACTATTGTTGTATGAGACAGACTACTGTCACATGAGACAGACTATTGCTGTATGTGACAGACTATTGTTGTATGAGACAGACTATTGTTGTATGAGACAGACTACTGTCGCATGAGACAGACTATTGCTGTGTGTGACAGACTATTGTTGTATGAGACATACTATTGCTGTATCGAGACAGACTAGTGTTGTATGAGACAGCTACTGTTGTATGAGACAGACTATTGTTGCATGAGACAGACTATTGTTGTATGAGACAGCTACTGTTGTATGAGACAGCTACTGTTGTATGAGACAGACTATTGTTGCATGAGACAGACTATTATTGCATGAGACAGACTATTGTTGTATGAGACAGACTATTGTTGCATGAGACAGACTATTGTTTTATGAGACAGACTATTGTTGTATGAGACAGACTAGTGTTGTATGAGATAGACTATTTTTTTATGAGACAGACTATTGTTGTATGAGACAGACTTCTGTCGCATGAGACAGACTATTGCTGTATGTGACAGACTATTGTTGTATGAGACAGACTTGTGTTGTATGAGACAGACTATTGTTGTTTGTGACAAACTATTGTTGTATAAGACAGACCATTGTTGTATGAGACAGACTATTGTTTTATAAGACAGACTATTGTTGTATGAGACAGACTACTGTCGCATGAGACAGACTATTGCTGTATGTGACAGACTATTGTTGTATGAGACAGACTATTGTTGTATGAGACAGACTACTGTCGCATGAGACAGACTATTGCTGTGTGTGACAGACTATTGTTGTATGAGACAGACTATTGCTGTATGAGACAGAATAGTGTTGTATAAGACAGCTACTGTTGTATGAGACAGACTATTGTTGCATGAGACAGACTATTGTTGTATGAGACAGCTACTGTTGTATGAGACAGACTATTGTTGCATTATACAGACAATTTGTGTATGAGACAGACTACTGTTGTATGAGACAGCTACTGTTGTATGAGACATACTACTGTCGCATGAGACAGACTTTTGCTGTATGTGACAGACTATTGTTGTATGAGACAGACTAGTGTTGTATGAGACAGACTATTGCTGGATGAGACAGACTATTGTTGCATGAGACAGACTATTGTTGAATGAGACAGACTAGTGTTGCATGAGACAGACTATTGCTGTATGAGACAGACTAGTGTTGTATGAGACAGACTATTGTTGCATGAGACAGACTATTGTTGCATGAGACAGACTATTGCTGTATGAGACAGCTACTTTTGTATGAGACAGACTATTGTTGTATGAGACAGACTAGTGTTGTATGAGACAGAATATTGTTGTATGAGACAGACTAGTGTTGTATGAGACAGACTATTGCTGGATGAGACAGACTATTGTTGCATGAGACAGACTATTGTTGAATGAGACAGACTATTGTTGAATGAGACAGACTAGTGTTGCATGAGACAGACTATTGCTGTATGAGACAGACTAGTGTTGTATGAGACAGACTATTGTTGCATGAGACAGACTATTGTTGCATGAGACAGACTATTGCTGTATGAGACAGCTACTTTTGTATGAGACAGACTATTGTTGTATGAGACAGACTAGTGTTGTATGAGACAGAATATTGTTGTATGAGACAGACTATTGCTGTATGAGACGGCTACTTTTGTATGAGACAGACTATTGTTGTATGAGACAGACTATTGTTGAATGAGACAGACTACTGTCGCATGAGACAGCTACTGCTGTATGAGACAGACTATTGCTGTATGAGACAGACTACTGTCGCATGAGACAGACTTTTGTTGTATGTGACAGACTATTGCTGTATGTGACAGAATATTGTTGTATGAGACAGACTATTGCTGTATGAGACAGATTATTGTTGAATGAGACAGACTACTGTCGCATGAGACAGCTACTGCTGTATGAGACAGACTACTGTCGCATGAGACAGACTTTTGTTGTATGTGACAGACTATTGCTGTATGAGACAGACTATTGTTGTATGAGACAGAATATTGTTGTATGAGACAGACTATTGCTGTATGAGACAGAATATTGTTGTATGAGACAGACTATTGCTGTATGAGACAGAATATTGTTGTATGAGACAGCTACTGTTATATGAGACAGACTATTGTTGCATGAGACAGACTACTGTTGTATGAGACAGACTAGTGTTGTATGAGACAGACTATTGATGAATGAGACAGACTATTGCTGTATGCGACAGACTATTGTTGAATGAGACTGACTAGTGTTGTATGGGACAGACTAGTGTTGTATGAGACAGACTATTGTTGAATGAGACAGACTAGTGTTGTATGAGACAGCTACTGTTGTATGAGACAGACTAGTGTTTTATGAGACAGACTATTGTTGTATGAGACAGACTAGTGTTGTATGAGACAGACTACTGCTGTATGAGACAGACTATTGCTGCATGAGACAAACTATTGTTGTATGAGACAGACTAGTGTTGTATGAGACAGACTACTGTTGTATGAAACAGCTACTATTGCATGAGACAGGCTACTGCTGTATGAGACAGGCTACTGCTGTATGAGACAGACTATTGCTGCATGAGACAAACTATTGTTGTATGAGACAGACAATTTGTGTATGAGACAAGTAAAAGAGCTCTTCTTCGCCTCTCACGTTCCATATTTCAAATGCAACGATCCACAGAGGTGATAATTACCAGAATAAGTACCTATAGCCTGGATGATGAAGGGGTATCAAAGGTAGCTTTGACGTCTTAAAGCGGAAGTGTACACGCAAATGTTACTTTCTTTCTTTTTCTAAACAAAACGCAATTTTAGAATTAGTTAGTATCTGTGTTTGAAAATATACACTCATTTTTTCACAGTGAAAGTAGGAAGCTCACAATAGTGTGAAAATGATATGCCGTTATGAGGCCTTCGTTTTTCGAGCTAGTGTGACGTAATTGGTGCCAATTCAACTGGGTCCCTGTCTATTCTCAACGCAAAAGATATCAAGTACCAGTTTGCGGTAAAACAACATGGCCTACGACACACTCCGGCGCAGTGGTGACTCAGCATAACACTATGCTAGCTGCACACTCCGTCGCAGTGGTGACTCAGCATAACACCACTGCCACAGGCTAATTTGCATATCACGTGACCGGACTTTTCTCTTGTTTGTAAACAAACGCGCTTTTTCAGAAATCAGTATAGAACGGACTAATGTAAGTATTTGGGGGCGCTTTACATATTGTTTTGCATAACTATATAGATATGCTACTACAACTGCGACAGTGAGTTGCATGACAATATATATTTATGCATCAAAGTGACCGTGTCGCTAGCTCTCCATTGCGCTTCGATGACAGCACGTGGAGCCGTACAACCAATGTAAACATAGGATAACTACGCAAAAACAAGTAGATTTTTACGTATTTGCATACTTTCTCAATGACAGTTAACCATTCTTTGACATTTGTTTATGAAAATGTGTAGACTTGTCAAACATGAAACGGATGAAAAGCATATGCAATATCTTGAATGGACTGTGAAAGATGTGACGAATCGTCACATGGCGCTGGCCTGTGGCAGAGGTACTATGCTAGCTGGCTGCCGGCCGCATGGAACTCTGGGTAGGAGAGTTTGCTAGCTGGCATCTGAGAAGCAAGAA